AATCCAACAGCCCTTTTGGGAATCTATTTTGTAGAAATAAACTATAGAGAATAGTTGGACATGATGGTGCATGCCAGTGATTTGGGAGAATAAGACAGGAGGATCTTAAGTTCCAGATCAGCCTGGGTAACCAAGGAAGACCCTGTCTCAAAATACAAAACAAAAAGGTTTCCCCGCCCAGCCCCCCACCAACTGGGTTCAATCCCCAGTATAGCAAACAAAACAAAACAAAAACACAAGAGAAAACTATATGTACTATAGGGGCAAAAGGAAATTTCCTCTTTGCCTCTGAAGGCAGGCTGGAATGAACTAAAAATAGACTTTTCTTTCTCTCTCTTTCTCTTTTTTCTTTCAGTACTGGAGATTGAACCCAGGACCTTGCACATGCTGAGCAAGTGTTCTACTACAAAGCTACACCCCCAGTCCCTTCTTTTTAAATTTTTATTTTATTTTTTAATTGTATTTTGAGACCAGGTCTTGTGAAGTTGCTGAGGCTGCCAAAAACTTTCTATCCTCTTGCCTCACCCTTCTGAGTTGCTGGGATTGCAGGGAATGCCACCATACCTGACAACAACAGACAATTTAATTGGGAGAAACAGCACATAGATTTATTAAAGTGCAAAAGGAAAAAAAGATCCTTTTTTATAGGGGAGGGAGAGAATGAGGAATGTCGATGATTTTTTTTAGGGAAATAGTAAATGATTTTTAGAGAAACTCAATGAGCTGGGAGAATATACAATGGCTTGGGATAAAGTCCACTGGGTCCACAGACAGATAGTAGATCATAAATGATTCTCTGAAGTATCAAAATAGAGGGCAATGGTATGTTACAAGTCTGCCCAGGTGTGCTGACATACTTCAGTATTCCTTCCTATGATGAGTTTAGTTTTTCCTGGTTAATTAGGTTTTCAATAGGAAAACGGAAGGCAATTGTGTTCCTCTTTTGATGGAGCCTGGTAGATAAAGGAGCTTTGCAAAAAGTCTCTCCCTCTCCAGGGAGAGAGATAAACAAGGAAGGGCAAAGGCAACTCGATTCTGAGGCAGGTTTTTGTTTTTGTTTTTTTCTCTTAATTTATTTATATTTTTAGTTTTTTTCGGTGGACACAACATTTTTATTTTATTTTTATGTGGTGCTGAAGATTGAACCCAGTGTCCCGCACATGCCAGGCGATCGTGGTACTGCTTGAGCCACATCCCCAGCCCCAATGAGGCAGATTTTAACACCTTTCAGCAGTCAAAGCTCCAGACTTTGGGGGTATCATATTCTGAGCCCCCAAAATACAAAATACTTATTATAGCATAATTTATAATAGAAGAACTTTAAAAACAATTTAAGTAGCCAACAAGATATTTAACAAGGTTCAGTCAAGCTGTGGTATGATTGATCTTAAATCCATTAAACTGATAATTACAAAGACAAAATACAAAGAAAAATACAAATTGCTCATGACATGAAATACAGATAGGTGATGTGTAAGTGAGTTAGCTCAATTTAACCATTCCATAATGTGTGTGTGTATTTCAAAATGTCATGTCATACATGATAAATATATAAGATTTTATGTCGGTTAAAATAATATTTTTAAGTAAGTAAATTAAATATGTTGTCTTAATCAGCTTTGTGTAGCTACTACCAAAATATCTGACAACAACAACTTTGAGAAGGAAAAGTTTATTTGGGGGCTCATAGTTTCAGATGTCTCAGTCCATAGATGGCCCACTCCATTACTCTGGGGCCTAAATTAAGGCCATTCATTCTGTTCCACTCATGGCAGCCAGGAAGCAGAGAGGAAGAAAGGGACCACAAGAAACATAAACCCTTCCTGGGCACACCCCCAGTGACCCACCTTCTCCACCCATGCCCCACCTGCCTACAGTTACCACCCAGTCAATCCAAAGTGGGATGGACTGATTGGGTTACAGCTTTTACAATCCAATTATTTCATCTCTGAATATTTCTGCATTAACACAGGAGCTTTTGGGGAACACCTCATATTCAAACCATAACATGAATAAAGGATGGCTTTTATTTTTGCAAGCCCAACACCCCTTTTATTTTATGTTTTGTGGTGGTGCTAGGGTTTGAACCCGTAGCCTTTAGGATGCTAGACAAGCACTCCACCACTATGCTACATCCCTAGCCTTCACCCCAATACTCTTTTTAACTGCTCCTCCCCCTGGTTGTAAAATAGTCATACTATACTGTTCAGGTCCTTGCCTGAAGGAGTGTGCATGTGACACTGGGCTAGACAACAATAACACCTTTTTCTCCCACCCAATACTGGCTTGCCCAAGGGTAGGCATGTGACCCATGGAGGGCCAATAAGAATCTGAATGTGTTTTATATCTCTGGGACAAGACTTATAAGGTCCATAGAAGCCTTACTATGCTATTGGTCATTCTTCCCACCACATTTAAGAGAGCAAATAATGAAACCATGCAGAGGAAAGCAGAGCCAAGACATCAGGGACACAAGACCTTAACAATATCATTTGAGCACATTGTTTGAATTTAGCTCTTCTTTTTTTCTTTCTTTCTTTCTTTCTTTTTTTTTTTTTTTTTTTGACAGTACTGGGAATTGAACCCAGGGGTTCTCTACCACTAAGTTATATAACCAACCCTTTTTAATTTTTATTTAATATCACATCTTAATGAGTTACCCAGGCTGGGCTCAAAGTTGTGATCCTCCTGTCTCAGCCTCCCAAGTACCTGGGATTACAGGTGTGCACAACCCTTCCCTGTGAATCTAGCTGTTTCGAAAGCCAGTGTATTTCCCAGTTATTTTTTCAGTTAAACTGCTTTGAATTAGGTTTTAGTTACTTGCAACCAAGTCCTAACTAGTACAATATGTATATGAAAATAACTTGAAAGGAAATACAATAAACAATTATTATGTTAGGGTAAAGAAATTATGGAATTTTTCTCTATATTTTTAATTCTGTTTGTAATGTAATATTATTTTTAAAATTTTAAATACATCACTTAAGAGAGAAAAAAGGCCCCTATTGGAGTCCACTCAGCAGAAAATGATTTTCTTATAAGGTCCATATGTATGTTGATTTGGGAATCAGAGAAGTTTTTATACACAATCTGCAACTGAGGGGCTAGGCTGCAAACTTAGGTCTACCTCCTGCAAAGCTTAAAAACAAATTTAGGGCTGGGGATGTTGCTCAGTGGAGCATTTGCCTAGCATGTGCAAGGCCCTGGGTTTGATCCCCAGCACTGAAAAATATATATCATATGTTTCTGGAGGTGAAAAGCTTGAGATGGATGTCACTGGGATAAAATCAAGGGTTAACAGGGCTGTATTCCTTCTGGAGGTTAAGGGGAGAATCTGTTTCCTATTCAATTTCTAGAGGTTGTAGCATTATTTTGGCTCATGGCCCATTTTTCCAACTTCCAATCTGGCAGTAGAGCATTTTCCAAGCTCTCTCTGACCCTGCCCTTCCTGTCTGCCTCTTTATAAGGACCTTGTGATCACATTGGATAATCCAGGAAGATCTCTCCATCTTGAGATTCTTAATTACATTTGTAAGGTCCCTCTTGCTACATAAGGTAACATGTCCACAGGCTCCAGGGATTAGGATGTGGAGATCTTTGAAGGGTCTACCATACAACTTATATAACTACAAAATTAAAACTTCAAAATACTACAAAAGTTATCCATAATTCCTCCATCACCCTAATACAATTGCTAATCAATTAACATTAATAATTATTAATAGTATTAATTATTAATATCTTTCTTAACTCCCCAATCTTTTTTCTATTAAGGTTTTTCACATAGTTAGTATTATACACCATTTTGTATCTAATTTTCTTACTTGCTATTTCCACAGTGTTTTCCTGTACTGCCACATGATCTCTATAAACTCATTAACAATGGCTGTGTGTTATTCCAGTGATATGCTGTCATACCTCCCTATTATTAGACCTTTGGTTGACGTTTTCACTCTTACATACAATGAGACACTGAATAAATATGTGTATATAGCTCTTTCTAAATTTGTGGATTATTTCTTATGATGCATTCTCAGAGGTGGAATTACCAAGCCTAAAGACATAAACATTTTGACATGAACAGGCAAGTTACATTCCCAAAGGTTACAGTGATGTCACTGCCACCTGCAAGCAAGGAGAAAGCTTGTTTCACTGCATTCCATCAATCGTTATCACTCTAGGAGAGTGAATTCAAAGACCTTGCCAAATGTCATTTGACTCATTTTCTATATCCTGTTTGTAGTCTCTTTCTTTCTTTTTTTTTCTTTTTTAATAATATTGTGCTGGTATTCAAACCCAGGACCTTGTGCATGCTAAGCATGCTCTCTACCACTGAGCTATCCCCACCCAGTTCTTACTCTGGGGAATCTTGCCTCTAGTTACCACATTTGAGAGAAACCTGAAGGTATAACTTCTCAGGTATGTTTTTACCAGTCATAACTAAATTAGCTAATCAACTATTTCAGCCCTTTCATGCAAAGACAAAATGATTTTTATTTTAATTTTATGATTTTTTATAGTGTAATAGAACAGTGTCATGAGCAAGCTAAGTCATTAACATAGGCCAAACACATTTGTATCTTCCCACAATTTCAGAATTTATTGAATAACAAAATATCCACAGGCTACACCATTTTCAGCCTTGGCATTTCACCAAATACTTATGGATCACTTGGTAATCATAAAACAGGCAAACACAAGTTATTTTGTTCTAATCTTCATTTCTAGTATCCATAGCACTCAAATCACACATCATGCTTTACACAATTATATATGTAGGTTACATATATAATTTCTTATAAAGGCTTACAAAATGTTAAAGCAGCCACAGGGGTTCAGAAGGCTGAGGGGACAGCAAAGGCAGACAGCAGATAGATACCACTGCAAAGAGTCACTGTATGTGGCTGATAAGCTGAGGAACTCGGTCAAGGAGCACAACTGTCAAAGCACAGATAATTATTCTAAGTTAGGGTCCAGATGAACAGCAGTTTCAGAGTTCAGCTTGGAGTGTCAGCTTAAGATGTTAGCCTGGGGTAAGTGGTTGCATGGTTGTCACTGGCAGGAGAAACTGTACTGTGCTTCATGAAGCCTGAGGATGGAGATTCAGAGGTTCTTCACTGTGGTGATTTTCCTGGGGAAGGCTCATGACAAGTGACCAGGTGACAAGGGTCAGTGTGCTGCTGTGTCCAGTCTCCAGTTGCTCCTCCTTTTATGAGTCTTGGGTAAAGGGATTTCTTCATTTGGTGGTCTAGTGTGTTCAATAAGCTCATGGGCCTGTTTTTTTCTGATATGAGTTTGATTTGCCTAAGTATCCATATGCTTCTGACTAATTCGATAAATTCACAGGTGGTTGTTTTTATTAGTATGATTAACTTATAAGTTTGTGTTTTTTGGTTGTGCTAGGCAGACAGCAGTTTTTTACTGGTACAACAAAGTGTAAGTCATTCTACCTCAGCACTTGTACTCAAAATGGAATAACTTATGGCAAATTTCTGCTTTACAAAATGAAGTAATTCAGGGGTAGGCACTATCTGAGAACTACCATTCTATACATCGTGGAGTAACTCAGTATCAACTTGCTCGCTTCAGACAGACAATGCCAATCCTCACTACAACAGCTGTGAAGCACATCTGGAACACGTCAACATACCGTTTTTGTGTTTTACTGCCAGGCCCAGTGACCCACCCAGGTGATTCTCAGGCTGCTTGCTCTGCTGAACTTGAGAGAAAAGCGGCCTGACCTCCCAGTCAGTCCTGGCCAAGCATGCCATCTCAGGTGGCTGGGAACAATACAGAGAGGTAAAGCCAAGTTGGCATTTAGACTCATGGCTGCCTCCAGTCAGAAGTTAAAGCAGTGTTCTGAAAATGATGATAACATCACAATGCTACTACCAACAAGAAGAACAAACATCTATTGGGTAATTGTTAAAGTTCGGGCAGTGTGCTGAGTACTACATGTGGATTATCTCATTTCTTCTTACAAGAACTCAGAAGCTATCTGCTATCAAAACCATTTTAAAGATAATGAAATTGAGACTCAGAGAAGTTAAGGAACTTGTCCAAGGCCACAAGGCTCATAAGAGGCAAAGTCAGAATCTTAGGTCAGATTTCACGTAACTCTAGAGGAGGATTCTTAACCACTTTGTTAGTGGTATTTTGTGCTAAAAATATTTACAATATATTGTCTCAGTATGTTACTCACCAAAATACAGTGTCTTAAGTAAAAGCAACTGGTGCCTTTCTGAACATTCAAAGAAAAGAAGGCTCCTAAACAATAGTGGAACCTTGGAAGAGAATCATAGAAAAGGTGTTTATACCTTGCTCACACATTATTTTGCTATCTGATTTATGCTTTCAACTGGGAAATACCAAGAAGAAATAAATGTGTAATTTATGCTTTCAACTGGTTTGTCTTCCAGAGCAGAGGGCCAGCACCTTCAATTCTAGGCTCTGTAATATCCCAGTAATACCTTAACTCCAGGTCTGGCCCGAGGGCACTGGGATACAGAATCCTAGGTGGAAGTCCTTGGAAGGGAATTCTTAATCTCTCAGCCAGGAAGATGCACCCAGACATAGATACTCCAACAGAAATGGATGGCTGGTGTTGCAGCCCAAAGAGCCTCCAAAACAGCTTCAGGGCTGGGGTTGTGGCTCAGTGGTAGAGTGCTTGCCTAGCATGCATGAGGCACTGGGTTCAATCCCCAGTACCACATAAAAAAAACCTAAATAAGCAAAATAAAGGTATTGTGTCCATCTACATCTAAAAAACAAAACAAACAAAAAATCCAGCTCCAGATTCAGAAGTCAATCCCAACCAATAATTTTGCCTGCCACCAGCAGTTTCCCCTTAGAATGTCTTTTTTCCTTGTTTTCTTTCTTTCTTTTCTTTTTCTTCCTTCCCCAACCCCAAGGGGTGGGGGGTGGGTTTGAAATCAGGTGTGCTTTACCACTAAGCTGCATCCCCAGCCATTTTTATTTTTGATTTTGAACCAGAGTCTTGCTAAGTTGCTTATGGCCTTGCTAAGTCACTAAGGCTGGGCTTGAACTTGCAATCCTTCTGCCTCAGCCTTCTGAGCTGCTGGGACTACAGATATACAAGTACCATGCCAGGCTTTTTTCTTGCTTTTTTTTTTTTTTTTTTTTTTTGATGCTGGGGATTGAACCTGTGAGATTCTTAAACACTGAGTCACATCCCCAGTCCTTTTTATTTTTTATTTTGAGACGGGGTCTCACTAAGTTGCAGTTGCTCAGGGCTTCAGAGGCTGGCCTCAAACTTGCAATCCTCCTGCCTCAGTCTCTCAAGTAGCTGGGATTACAGGTGTGCACCACTGTACCATGATATACTGAAAAATCCTAAAGGCAGTGCCTTGGACAGGTGTCAACATCTAAATTGCTTCAACCTTCAAAGAGAGCAGCTGCCAGAACCAAGAATCACTTCTGGAAGCAAGTGATTAAAAAAAAAAAAAAAAAAATCTCCCTGGGTGCAGTGGTGCAATCACAGGGGCTCAGGAGGCTGAGGCAGGAGGTTCATGAGTTCAAAGCCTGCTTCAGCAAAATCAAGGTTGTGATAAGCAACTCAGTGATTACCTTGTCTCTAAATAAAATACAAAATATAGGGGCTGGGATATAGCTCAGTTGGTAGAGTGCTTGCCTTGCATGCACAAGGCCCTGGGGTTCAATCCGCAGCATCAAAAAATAAATAAATTAATTAATTTAAAAAAAAGATATTGTGTGTCCATCTACAACTAAAAAATATTTAAAAAAAAATACAAAATAGGCTAGAGATGTGGCTCAGTGGTTGAGTGCCCCTGAGTTCAATCCCTGGTACCCCCACAAAAAGCACTCTCTTGGTATCCTTGGTCCCTGTGCTCTGGAACCCTTTCCTGCTGTCCTTGTGGCCTAGGGGTGGAGATGGTTTCTCACTGCTCCTAATCACTGAATTGGATCACACTGCTAGTGGTTTCTTGGTCCTTTATCCCCTGTGTGGTGTTTATTAATATCTCTTGGTTTTAAACACTCAGAATGTTATTTGTTTCCAGACTAGAAATCACCCTTGTAGGTTCTGTTGCCTACATCATGTTACCTCTTTCTCTTGCCTTTCAGTTATCATATTTCAAGTACGCTATTATGATTTAAAAGTCCTAAATTCGCACCCTTAGGGTAAGTATTGATTTTCCCATCTAAGAGGCATGGTAAATACTTTTGAAAGTTCTTTTTTTTCTGAAAGGGAAAATATGAGTCTGTTAGATCCACAAAGTCAAAAGTATATAATAAGTAATTATATAAAATATATAATATATATAAATGAATAAAGAAATAAAAATGTACATGAAATTATGAAGGAAAACCTATATAAATACATGTTTTCACAAATGACAGGTTTCTCACTAACTATGTGCTGATATTTGGAATTTAACTGGGACATGGGTTCATACTTGAAAATATATTTATATGTATGACATTATATGTCAGTATATTAACATACCTGTCAAAATACTATGTTTCATATAAATTCCCATGATTATATGTTTAAGGGCTTTTGCACCTTGTGGTGGTATTAGGTGTAGGGATACTTTGAGGGGTAGGGCTAGGGTTAGCAATAGGAAGTCCACATATATACTGATATAAAAGAATAAAAAAATGAAAATATATGTGAAATTGTGTAGAATGACCCTATATGTTTTCAGTCAGTATAATTGTGTGCTGATATTTTGGTTTAAATCTGGGCTATGGCTTTATAAATGAAAATGTATTTATATATATGATGTTATATGTGAGTGTGCAAATGTACCTGTAAAAATATCTATGATTTTCATATAAACGCCATTGTTTATAATTTAAGTGCTTTTGTGCTTTGTGGAAGTGTTAGGGGTAGGAGTCCATGGGGTGTAGAGCTAGAGTTATGGTTAAGGAATAAGCATATACATCAGTATAAATTTATTAAAAAATTAAAATACATATAAATTATGTAGAAAAATCTATATGAATATATACATGTCACAATCAGATATGTTTCTTGGTACCTAGGTACTGATGTGTGAGATTAAAACTAGGTCATGGATTCATATGAAAAAAAAAATATATATATATATGATATTATAGGTAGGCATATATTGTACCTGTCAAAATATGTATGATTTTCATATAAATGCCCATTATTTTATGTGTAATGGTTTTTGGGCTTTTCTGTAGTATTAGGGGTAGGAGTATATTAAGGGTTGGGGCTAGGGTTAGGGGAGGGAATTAACATATATATCAATATAAATGAATAAAAAAAGAAATTATATGTGAAATTATGTAAGAAAACCATATAAATGTATATGTTTTCATATTCAGACATATATCTAAGTAGCTGTGCACTGAGTTTTGGGGTTAAAAATTGGCCATGGATTCATTCATGAAAATATCTTTATATATATGATAATATATGAGAGTATATAAAAGTATCTGTCAAAATATCTATGAATTTCATATAAATGCCCATGAGTAAAGGTGCAAGGGCTTTTGCATTTTGTTGTAATGATAGGGGTAGAAGTACATTGAGGGGGAGGGCTAGGGTTAGGGTTAGTGTTTGAACAAATATACAGTGTAGATAAATAAACATGATAATACATGTAAAATTATGTAATAAAACTTATATAAATACATGTTTTCATAATTGACAAGTTTCTGAGTAATCCTGTTTTGACATTTTTTATTAAAATGGGCCAGTGATTCATACATGAAAATATATTTATATATGATGTTATATGTGAGTATACAAATGAACCTTTCAAAATATCTATGATTTTCATATCAATGCCCATGATTATACGTGCAAGGGCTTTTCACTTTGTGGTAGAACTAATGGAGGTGTACTATTAGGGTTGAAGTAAGGTTAGGGTTGAGAAATAACCGTATATATCAATATAAATGATTTCTTAAATGAAAATATATGTGAAAATATGAAGGAAAACCTATACAAATAAAGGTTATCAACACAGGTGTCCTTCTAACTGTGAGCTTATGTTTTGTTTTAAAATTGGGTCGTGGATTTATACATGAAAATATCTTAGAAGATGGAAAAATATACCCTGTTCATGGATAGGCAGAACTAACATCATCAAAATGGCGATATTACCAAAAGTTCTCTATAGGTTTAATGCAATGCCAATCAAAATCCCAATGGCATTTCTTGTAGAAATAGAGAAAGCAATCATGAAATTCATATGGAAAAATAAACGACCCAGAATAGCAAAAACAATGCTAAGCAGGAAGTGTGAATCAGGCGGTATAGCGATACCAGACTTCAAACTATACTACAGAGCAATAGTAACAAAAACAGCATGGTACTGGTACCAAAACAGGCGGGTGGACCAATGGTACAGAATAGAAGACACAGAAACCAATCCACAAAACTACAACTATCTTATTTTTGATAAAGGGGCTAAAAGCATGCAATGGAGGAAGGATAGCATCTTCAACAAATGGTGCTGGGAAAACTGGAAATCCATATGCAACAAAATGAAACTGAATCCCTTTCTCTCGCCATGCACAAAAGT